TTCCACCAGGAGCTATCAAATATAAAAATGTCTGGGTCTGGAAGATTCTGACACTTGTCATGCACGTTTTGCATGAGCCATGATGTCTGTGATGCGTACCCTAGCAATACAGATTTTCTGAGGGCTTCTTGATGCCTATTCCGCATGACAAATGCCTTCTCAGCGTAGCAAAAGTTGCATTCCCGTTGGTACTCATGCAATTATACAGATTTTTTTGGAATCCAAAAACAGCATGACAAGTTGCAGTTTTCCAGACCCAGACATTTTTGCATTTGATAGGAGCAGGCGTACAGCAAAAAGGCACCATCCTGTACTGGCGTTGCGAGCAAGGACATATCGGAGGAAAAATTTCTCCTTCCCATATCGAAGCGGTACGCTTTAGAATATTTGTGTTGCGGATTTGTGGCCACAAATCTTTTTGTCTTGCAAGAAGGCAGCTCCATAGTCTCCGCCACATTGTGCAGGCGGTTTGTGATGCTGCCGGGACTACAGCGCGGACATTTGTGATGCTAAGCGTGTGCGTCAGAAGCTCTCCTACTCAGGCACGGCGTATGCCTCCTGTAGTCCCCTACTGCAAGACAGCTCTGATTTGTGTGCGCCCATCCAGCATCAGAAACTTCGTTTTGATATGGGGGGGGGGAATTTTTCCTTTCGATGGCACAAAACGAGACAGCAGGTCCAGGTGGAGAAGACGACGAAGAATCTCGCGGAGCAGGCGAAAAAGTCTGAGAAAGAGGTCGCCGCCCAGAAGGAGCGCGCCCGGGAGATCACGAAACAGCGCGACCTGTGGTGGGATCGAAGAAAAAACGCCGATGCGGAAAGCAAAAGCAGCGCGTTTTTGAAAGCCCAGCTCGCGGGGAAGAGCATGACCAGTTCCGACGTGTCCAGTGTGCCGATGCTGGGGCGGGGGACGGAGAAAACGAAGGGGCTGATTGTCTTCGACGAGCAGGACGAACTGGAGGTCGCGACGAAACACAATTCGGATGCAGCTGCCTCCAGCGGTGCGACGGCGTCTGGCGGTGGAGCCCAGAGTAGTTCCGCCGGTAAAGTAAACACAACTGGTGCAGCCGCCGGTGCGGGGAAATCATCGGCAGCGAAAGGACCATCGAAAGTCGAAGCTATGTACGCGAGACTGCGGGCGAAGCGGAAAGAAGTAGCGGATGGCGAGACGGGCAATGTATCAAATGTAAAAGTGTCTGGGTCTGGAAGATTCTGACACTTGTCATGCACGTTTTGCATGAGCCATGATGTCTGTGATGCATACCCTAGCAATACAGATTTTCTGAGGGCTTCCTCATGCCTATCATGACAAATACCTTCTCAGCGGAGCAAGAATTGCATTCCCTTTGGTACTCATGCAATACAGATTTTTTTGGAATCCGAACGCAGCATCACAAGTTGCAACACTCTTCCAGACCCAGACATTTTTACATTTGATACAATGCGGGTGGAAACGATCCTGCTGGAGGCGGTCCCATGAACGCGAAACGCGCGAAGTTGGAAGAGGCACTACTTGCGAAGAAATGAATTCTACGGAAATAAATTCAAACTACCAGCATGAAGAAATATTACCATCGTGGCGACGATCTTCAGTTTTGATATTGCACGATGATTGTTTTACCACTAGCGCAGTTACTACAGACACATAGTACACGCACTTGATGTGGTGCGCGTAACACGGGAAAGAGCTCTTTGAGAACAATCGTAGCCATCTTCACCGTGTTCATCTTCTGTTCGACTCGATGAAAACAATTCCTATTTGTAAGCTTCGACTGTTTTGCTGGTCCAGCAACGTGAGGACATAATTGCTGCGTTTGTTTCTTTCCTTGTATCATAAGCTAAAAAATGTGAGTCGCACCTCTACGACCTAGTGCGGACTGGTTGTACTGTGCTTATCTCTTTACAGCACCGGTGAATCAATTTTCTTCTGGTTTCACCAAAATGTTGCGGCGTGCACCACATGTAGCTCATGTCTTTTGCGATGTGGAACCACGGCCTGCACTAAAACTGCTCTCTAGTGAAAAGCAGGATCTGCTCCTTCCTGGAGCCACCGGTCGTGGGGCATGGAGATGGGGCCGTAGAAGTAGCAGGACGGCGCTCTGTATAGTACCAACACCTGCGTCGACCACCACCGCAAGTAGATCGGTGCCGAGACTGACTACGACAAGATTTCTTGCTTCATCAAAACACGACCCCGGGACGGCGCCGTCGACTAGGCAACCTGAAGACTCAAAACAGAACCTCCAGATGACGGCTGACGAAAGGAGCGCATTCTACCGACAGGAGGCAGAGGAACGGAAAGGCAGCAGCCGGATTTTCCGGGTGGAAGCGGCGAAGAATCAGCGGAAAGTTTTGCCGGACGTGGTGCTCGCGAGACTGCAGCTCGAACGCCTGTGCCAGGAGGGAGAGCTGGCGCTGATTCAGGAGGACGTGCGGGAACAGTACGTGACGCTGGAAAAGATCGACTTGATTTTGGATTACGAGAAGAAAAGCGATACTGGGGAGCAAGTTGAACACATCAACTTTATCACGACCAAGGAGGAAAAGCACGAGCTCCTTTATCCTGTGCAAAAGTATCGTACCATACTATGTAAATTGCATTACAAATTCACTTAGCATTACAAATTAAATTTGTAATGCGGATTTGCCTTGAAAGGGAGATTTGTAATGCATAAACGCAATCAATACGAGTACGATACTTTTGCAATGCACATCCTTGTCGGTCACGCGATCAAGGCAGACATGCTCTTGGATTTTTACCGCACTATCGCAAACGGTTCGAGCTCATCTGTAGTACGTGAAAAAGCGGCGAAATGTCACCGATTGATCGAGGAGTTGAAGAGAATTAAATGAAGAGTGAGAACAAAGGAAATAACTTCATATGTGGTTTCGATTGTGTCTGACGCATCATGTCATGCCGTTCGGAAACAAGGCAGTGCAGGTGCAAAAATCATGTGTCATAGTACTGGATCCAATCTTGAACGCCGGTTTGTGGGACTGGTGTGTTGAGCGTAGGTTGTTTACTTTTTATCGTGTGATGAAGATATTGGGTTTTTTTATTTCTGGGTACAACTAGGCAACCAGGATGCAATATTAGAGTACATATGTTGTGTCATCTGGAGAGGACACCCGTTTGGTATAATTTCGCACGGGAATATTGTAAAACGAAGATGTGGTTCTTCTTTTGGTCGTGTTTCTGCTCTGTGGTTCTGGTCACGTTCGCAACGGCCAGCACGAACGTCGTTACAATAAAAGACGCGTCGAGAAAGACGTCGTTCCCGAAAATTCGTTCATTGTCCATCCTCCTCTCGTTGTTCCATTGTCGATTTAGTACATGACTACAAGTTTTGATCGAACCAATGTCAAAAGTGCGTGGACCACGCAGTTCAATAAATGACATTTGATCATCTACTTCCTCGGATCATGACATCAAAGAGGGAATAGATCTTGTTCTTGACACTAGTACGGACACGCGGAAGATGATGCTTGGAGTTTTTATCTTATAGAATTATGGGGCAAAGACAAAGAGTCCTCCACGTCGGCTGTGACACTCCGTCCCTTCGATTGATCGAAATGCTATACCTCAAATAGGGCACAGAGCAGTCCACGTCGGCTTTCTTGGGAATTCTCTCATTGATCGAAAAAATACTATGCCTTTAATAGGGCACAGACGTTAGAAAAATAGACTAAACTATGCCTTCGCCCTGGTTAAGTAATAGATGTCCACGCACCTCCCGCAGTTGGCTAGTACCAATATCGCCCTCCGGGCGCGAAGATCTCAGCTAGAACAATCTTCGAGCAAATGAAACGCTCTCGACGTCCCAGCGACTAGTACATCGAGAATGATCTTCGGGGAAAAAAGGCTCCTGTCAGCATATGCTCATGCTGTCCCAAAAGAAATCGCTCAACACTCGTTCCAGAATGCTAAATTTAATCAGTCGCTATAAAGATGATCTCAAATGATCTACTTAAACTTCTAGTCTCCGGTAATACATTGATCTACTTAAACTGCTATTTTGATTTTACACTGCAATATGAAGATCTCAAGTAGACACCAACAAAACAAGAAGATGACAAGCGATGAGATATAAGTAGCATATTAACAAACGTGATAAACAGCATGACAAATCAGAGATGATAAAGATAAACATGTGTGAAGATGCAGATGAACGACCTGATTTATTCCGAACGCCAATATCCGATATTCCACAGGCCTTGAGTTGTACGTCTTGCACGAGGACAAACTGTATCCTTCGAAGAATCAGATGAAGAATATTACCCCTATTTTACAATATTTGCATTACAAATTCTGGTGATAGATAGTATTCAGCATTCGTTTGTTTTGGTTCGGGATTATCAAATGTAAAAATGTCTGGGTCGGGAAGGATCCGAACTTGTCATGCAGATTTTACATGGCCCGTGACGTCTGTGATGTATTCCCTGGCATCACAGATTTTCCGAGTGCTTATTGATGCCTATTCCGCATGACAAATGGCCTCCCCGCGTAGCAGCAACTGGACTCCTCTTGCTGGTCATGCAATACAGATTTTTCTAGAGTCTAAAGGTAGCATCACAAGTTCCAACCCTTCCAGACCCAGACATTTTTACAGTTGATAGGGATTAACCACAAAGACTACCCATCAGGAACGCTATATGGATTGTAAAAATGTCTGGGTCTGGAAGATTGCCAGGTTTGTCATGCATATTTTGAATGACCCATGATGTCTGTGATGCATGCCCTAGCATCACAGATTTTTAGAGGGCTTTGTGATGCCTCTACTGCATGAGAAATGCCCTCTTCACGTAGCACAGACTGGAGTCCTTCTGCTGGTCATGCAACACAAATTTTTTTAGAATCCAGAGACAGCATTACAAGTTTAGAATCTTCCAGACCCAGACATTTTTACATTTGATACGCTACCTTGTGGCGCAAATCTGAGTGTAGTATTCGAAGCAGTGTCTACTTTTCGTAGAACAAGCGTAAAGCAAAAGCCGGCGAGAGGCTGCAGCGTAGACAGGAAACACGAAAGAGCAACCGGTAACAAAAGAAAGAGAAATTGATAAAGAAATAAAGCAGCTTCTCCTACTAGTGAACAGAGTAATAATATTACGCTGCTTAATACTAGTAGGAGGTAGTAGTAGTAGTAGTAGTAGTATTACCCAACAAAACGGGGCAAAACGATAATCAGAAGTAGATGCTATCTATTTATTATCGTTTGTAATATTGCTGCCGGAACCGCTATTTGCAGGAGTATTGCTGCCGGAACCGCTATTATCGTTAGTATTTGTAGGAGTATAATATTATTATATTCCTACAAAGGCTTTCAAGTTTTCTCCTTTCACAAACCCTTCGCAGCAAGCAGCTTGATCAGCTTTCGTTTTTACAAAGCTTTCTATTCAGAAAAAGCTCGTCCTCCGCTCTTTTTTCGCAACAAAAAAAAGTAGTACAGTTTGTTTTACCCTCTGTAAAAGGAAAAAGCTCGTCCTCCGCACTTTCTTCGCAACAAAAAAAAAAGTAGTACAGTTTGTTTTACCTTCTGTAAAAGTTTTAGACTTATTCAGCGTTTCTTTCAAATATAGGCCCTTTACAGCAAGACGTTTTTGCCCTTCTACCAGTTGTGTTTCATGTACGAGTCCAAAGTGGCTCTGTCATCTACTTCAAGCTGGTCTTTTTGTCAAACAAAGTAGCACTATCGTAGAACCAAAAGAAAGAAGACACAATCTTCAAACGGACTCAAGGTAAGGCACGTAAAAAATAACAAAGAAACAGATGTAAAAACGTAGTTACAATTTTACTTTTGGCACTAAGCTCATATCATTTTCACGGTCAGCACCCACTTTTTTCAGAGACTTTGAACCCTTGACGCCGCGAGCGGGAAGGGGAAAGAAAGGTGGAAAGAAAGGGTGTATGTACCAAACACATCTGACAACTCTCGATCGCGACTACTTAGACGCACTCTATCGACGACGACTCCAGATGCTTACTCACCTCGTTGTGGCCGCGCATGCAGTTACTTGTCCTATGTACAACTTATAAATGAAGCAAGCAAACTTTTCACACTACTATTTCATTTTCCAGCTATAGTAGAGCAAATTTGAGCTTGCTTCTCTATCGGGTTTTGGCGAATTTCGCAGGATATCCAGTGTAGATCTTGTGACTTTTTCCTTCCACCGACCGACGAGACAAGTCCTGTCGAAGAGTTTGAAGTGTGAGTAAAACAAAACCGTCCTTTCAGGTCGCCTTCTCACCAGTTTACGAGAGATACGACAGTGTTAGAATCTCAGCCACTCATTGAGCGATTTTTCGATCCCGGAACAACACCGCGAAAAGAAACTTATGCATCTGCAGTTGTCGAAAGAAGGATTTGATTTTTTTTTTTTTTTTGTTTTTGGTTTTTTCGTTTTTCCTGTGCTGATGTGAAGACGTTGAGAGCTGTCGGAACGGTTCAATCTACATCAATTTTTGGTCGATGCACTGCCCTACCGTGAGCTACTTTAAGCGGCAGACCTTCTTCATCTCAGCTTCGCAAAACCTCAAAACCCTATTTCGATTGTGCGATGTTGTTTTTTGTTTCTCTGACATCAGAATTCTTTTTTGTTAGCAAACGTGAAGATTGTATTTGTAATGCGAAACAGCAACTTTTTCCAAAAATACAACCACGTGAAAGATGGAGAGAAGACAAATAACAAAATAATAATAAAGCAAAATAGAACCGTAGAACGTTGACACTGTGTTGCTGCGGACCCAAAGATGATTTTTCGACTGCGTCGTCGATGAACATCAGTTTTTAATTTTTTCAAAAAATTGCTTTTGTCTTGCAAATTCGATGCACTTTGGCATCTTGGTACAGCAGAGCTCTTTTTTCCTCTTCGCCATCATCTTCTTTCACCACCATTACAAATTCCACACCCGGCATGTGTGGGCAGTTATGCTT